GAGTGTATGATTTAGAGAAACTGATTTTTGTTGTATTGGCTTGACTTTAGCAGGCTTAATAGTTTACTTGTGGTACCCCAAACCACAGGGATTTTTCAAAATGCTATTCAAATATTTTCAGTGACATCTGGCTGAAACGTCTCCCTTAGAAATATATTTTAAAACATTTTCACAGAAGAAAATATTATTGTATAGTCAGTAAAGGCTAGACTATCAGAAAATGGTAACTCAACTTTGTCCTGATTGAAAAAGACAGGGACTTATAATGTCTCCCCAAGATGGGATGAAAAAAATACTAATTTGTCGTTCCCAGAACCTAATGCTATAGCTCTCTGTGTATGAGCACAAGATCTCCCCAAAAGTGCAAAAAGTAATTGCAAGGTGCATGATGGGCTGTTCTAGGACAGTCTGATTATTGCTTGTGGAGATCTATAAAAATACACAGGCTAAATAGGCAGGGATTTCTTCCTGTCTGCCATTAATTACAAGAGCAGGAAGAGATACCAGGTGAAAAAAAGCTTAAAACAGAGTTGAGCTAATTTGAAGTCCCTCCCCTAGGATTCATTAATCCTTATCATTGATCAGAATAATCCCTAATAACCCAAGGTACCACCAAGGAAAACGTGGTGACAGACAGGATGACTCTCCTCAGTTGGGACTCTCACTCCTTTTGCCTTAACTGAACCTCAGACTACAACAGTCTCTCTTTTCCAGTTTCTATAACTTGCAGTCACTTGGATCTGAATACTAAATGAAAAATTACAGAAATACACAATTCATAGATCTAAGATGACTTCTATTACAGCATATTGTTACACTTGCCCTATTTCACTACTAATGCTAGTAATCTCTTATTGAGCCTAATATGATAAAGTATGTATGCATAAAAAACAGCATATGTGACTTTTGGTTCAGTCAATGTTTTGGGGTATATAGCTGGCACTGTAAATTGACCTTCACCACAAGAAGGCACAGGGCTTTTTGTTTGTTTTGTTTTAGTCTTGAATGCTATATGGATTACTCCTTTGCATTGTAGATCCCAAAGTCCAAACTAAAAGTGATAGGGTTGGGTCCTGATAAAAATGAGCAGTTTAGTTTGAAAGATCCAGGGGCAAAACTAAGTTTGGAAATTGAAGCAATTCTCTCTCCGATTTGAATCCCAATTCAAGTCGTTCTAATCAGTGGACTGTGTAAATATTACAATGAAAATCACCTTTCTCCCCATTTCTACTCTATAATCTCCAGCACAGGCTGACATTATGTGAGCCTGGGGTCTAATCACACCATGGGGCCAGATTTTGCTCTGATGTTCTAAAGCACGGAGAGTTCAGCCTACTGATTTAGTAATATCCAGGGAGGAAGGGGAAACATCTGAAGTTATTTTTACTTCTGCAGGTCTTCTAGCTGTAGAGGGTGAATAGTAGGGTGGATCAAGTATTGTCTAAAGCCCTTCAGGATCTTTCCTTTTTTGCATGGCCTCATTTCCGTCTTCCTGTTGCTAGGAAGGAGAGCTAAGCATGAGAAACTTGTGTTTACAATAGTGGACCATCCTGTCTAGAACAAGGCTCTCTTCAAAAAAGTCCTATTCACTCCACTCACTCACTGTACTTTGGGTGTCCTCATTTTTGTGAACCAAATGGCCGTTCCCTGAATATTTTCAAATTAGGTATTTATGCGCCTAAGTCATAAAAATACCACTCTCCATTAAACATTGCATCATGGTTTAAAATCTCCATGGGGACCCCAAGGGGTACTCAAGTACTTATTTTTGTATTTGAAAGCACTTCTTGGAATCTCAAACTGGAATGCATTTTACTGAGACCTCCCCAGAATCTCTTTAAACCTCATAATAGTTCTACAACAAGAGGTTAAGCGCCACATACATTTTTAAACTCATTTCACAAAACATCTTTCTATTAATCTAATACATTTTCCAAAGGTGCCCAAAGACTTCTAACTGTAAAAATATTCTTTTAAACTTTGCTTTGTCTTTGTTCTTGGAATACAACAATGCTAAACAAACAAACAAAGGCCTTTGGTGGTTGAAGGGCCTCACCTTTGCTCTAGAACCATAGAAAAATCTTGAGTTGATTGGTGCAGTATATTAAAATTTGAAAAGCAGCCTTTGAACAGTGATAGTTCATTGCTTAACTATTTAAGTTTGTTTAAAATATACAAATGGAAAGTTAAGACACAAAGCACCAAAACTACTTTCCTCATCCACTCCAGGGAGAGACTTAAATTGGAATCTACTTATTCCACTTCTGCAGAGTGAGGAAAACAAGTTGGCAACCTCCCCATCACCTTGAGCTTCCAGCATGTTTAGTGAAAGATGTCATTCAGCTTGAATTAAAATAAAATCAATTTCTGTCAAAAGCAAACTCTGACAAACAGCTGGGAGAGAGTCAGCCTTCTGTGCTTCACTGAAAACTCCAGCAGTATGCTAATGAAAAAAGCATGCGCTCAGGCTTGGGCTGTGCTGTGAATCCCGCATGCCACAATAAAGCGAATGCACACAACTGCCAGCGCTTTCTCAGAAAATGTCTTGAAATAACTTTTGATCGCACATCTGCTAACCATTTGACCCTCTTTCCTCAGGACCTTGGCTCCTCCATCGCAGGGGTTGCAGCCTTTCCAGGTACCCCTCTGATCATCTGCTGCAATCTGCAGGCCAAAATGGCACTGGGCGCTTCCACACTTAAGGTTTGCAAATGATCTATGCTGAGGACCAGCCTGCAGTCCAGATGGATGCTGAATTAGTCCACTTCTAGGAGCCATTGACGACGGACTTACATTTGGGGAGCTATCGTCTGCTGGGCTATTATTTTCCCCAATCCCTTCAGCAAACAGAATTTTGGAGGAAAAAAATGTATAATTGGAGACTCTTCAGATCTGTGATTTTTTTTCACTTTTCAAGTGTGTCATGTATGCCACCCCCACCAATCTTTAGGTCACGGATGGTAGTGCCTAGACTGCATTCCTCTGAATCACCATTAACCAACCCCTTGCAATAACCTCTGACTGCAGAAAATGAACCATTTGCTGGCTATATTTGATGTAAAAAGACTCACTCAAAGCAAGACTGGGGATGGAAAAAAGGTCATGGGATAAAATTCTTTTGCTCCATATTGGAAATTAATGACTTTAGGCAAGGGCCTCGTTTGGCAGTCAGTAGCATAAATGGAGAATATCTGCTGAACATCAATGCAAGACACCTTGACAGGCGCTTTATTTCTATTAGCTCACGGATCCTCGAACCCTGTCAATAGTTACTGCCTCCGTGTTGCTGGAGGATACAGTGGAGTCCAGTCACTCCTGGGTTTGCCCTGGAGCAGGTTGCTGATCCAGAATTCCGACCCTGTTAGCCTCATCCCCGACCCAGCGGCTGTGCTCTTGAACCGCGCGCAGACACAGACCCACGCGTCAGGGAGGGGGTCTGCCATGGCCTGGGACAACTCCTCCCATAGGATCAAAGCCTCAGGCTCTGACGTCTCAGGTGGGGTCAGGGACACGAAATGGGCAGGATTCCAACAGGCCGTCGCCTCTTAACAAAAAAATAAGTCAGGTCTGGCGACTCGCTTCCTTCCTCTCTGGCCCCGGACTAACTCCACAGGGTCGGTCCACGTCGGGAGCCAAGGGCGTGAGCATTTCCTGGGGCATTTCAGGAACCGGGTCCAGGGCCCAGCGCCCAGCGCCCAGCGCACGACTGAAAGGCGCAGCCTCCCCAGCAGGAGCCCCACACGTGCGCCCCGGTGCTGGCTAACGCGCGTCTCCAGGCACCGGGCAGTCACCAAGCCCAGCCTTTGCTGGCTCAGTGTCGGTTAACGTTCAGCCTTTAAATATTTCAACAAAGAGGTCTGAAATTAAAACAACCTCTTGGTGACTACCCTCCTCAAGCAGTGCTTAAACAAACAAACAAAAACAAAACAAAACACTTGCAAGGCTACTCAACATCTGCAACGTTCCTGAAATAAACGCCAATTTCGGACTTGAAGGCTGAAGGATCACAGTAACTACCCTAGATCGGTTCCCCAAGGAAAGATAAGTAGAAAGGACACCCCGCGGCACCCCTCAGACCAGAGACTAGCGCCAGGGATTCAGAATGAGAATAGCCGAGCCGCTGGCCTTGCGCCCCAACCCCTCAGCCCTTCCGAGCTCACTGGGGCGCCAGCCCGCGGTCCCCAGGCAATGCGTCCTTAACAGACAGTACCCCGAATGCGAACCTCCCTCTCCAAACTCCGACCTCTGCTTTCCTCACACGCAGGCCCTCTGCTCCCCAGAAACTCGGGCGACTCCTTAGCAAGCGTATCCAAAGCGAAGGACGACAGTCGCCGACTTGGCAAGGCGGGTGACATTTCCTCTGAGGAGTCAGTCCCCTCCGCAGCTGACGTCCCCGCTGGCCCGACAGCAAGGCACGAGGCTAGCTTACGTGTTAGGATCATGATGTCCAGCTTCTCTCTGCACATCCAGGGAGGTGGAGGGCGGCAAGCGTGCAGGAGGGACGTCGAGGCAGCCAGAGGCAGCTCGGCTCCTGCGCCGGGACCCACGGCTGAGCCCGAGACGCGAGCCTCGCGGCTCTCAGCGCATCCTTGCTTGCCTCTCCCTCCTCTCCCAAGGCCCCAGAAAAAACGCAGGCTTTTCTAGAGGCTGCAAAGAGAAAGCTCTCAGGGAGCGGGGCGAGGAGCCCTGAGGCGGCTGCGTTCGCGGCGGTGGAGCCCGGCCATTGCCCGAGGCTGGAAGGAAGAAAGCGCCCTCTCACCCGCCGCGGCCGCGGAGCGCACAGCCCGCAGAGCCCGCCGTCCGCCACGCCCTCCCGCTGGGCCCGCCCCGAGGGGAGGGGCGAGGCCTGCAGGGCGGCCCGCGCCACCGCGGTCTCGGGCCCAGGCGGCCCCGGCCCCGCCCACCCTGGCCGGCCCCGCCCACCCTGGCCGGCCCCGCCCACCCTGGCCGGCCCCGCCCACACCGCCAGGCCCCGCCCCGCCCGCCCGGCACCGCCTCCATCCGGGGAGGAATGTTTTCCCTCAGCCTCCACGTCTGCAGGGGGAAGCGTCTAAAAGTCGCCAGCTATTGGCCTCGAGGGCAAAGGCAAAGGCCACGAGGCACGTCCCTTCTGGACGCTGGGACCGCGTGCACTTTCCCCTTTTTTTTCTTGGTGGCTCTGCGCACTTTTTTTTTTTTTTTAACCTCTGTCCTCAAAGTCGTTACAAAGGTTTGTGGGAATGGAGGGGAAGCAGGCAGGTAGGGCTGGATCTGAAACGGGGGAAAGAACGTGCCAGTCTTCCAGACATTCATTATTCCTTGCCAGAGCTCACGGGTACAGAGCCACGGAAGGGAATAAACCTGTTGTGGATAGGGCTCAGGTCTTTACCCAGCACTATGGAGAGACCATCTGGCCGCAGTCACAACCAGTGGCTTTCAGACTGTGGTCTTTGGACTCTAATTAAGCGCTACTCCTGGACCTGTTTCATGCCAGGCTATGGAGTGAAGATTCAGAAGCCTCCTAAGGTGAGAACCTGCGATTTCCCCCGCAATCCCTCGGGTGATCCTGAAGCACCGTAGTTTCTGCAGGCCTCTCATATCCTAAGAAGTCTCATTGAATTAGGGTCAGGGATTTAGCTCAGTGGCATAAGTGCCTGCCTGGCAAGTGCAAGGTCATGAGTTCAATTACTGGTACAACACAGTAGAATACAATCACAGAGAGATCTTTAAAAAATTCGGACTAGGATTTTGTTTTAAGAAAATTTACTTTGAAGTACATCTATGCTTTCTGCCTGTTATCTCTGGGCAAGGAAAACTGACCTAAACTCATTCATCCAACAAATAAGAGATGAGCCTATGCCATGGGCTGAATGCTTTTCAGGCTTCAGAAATAAGGCAGTGAGCAAGAGGTAAACATGCCTTTCCTCCTGATGTTTGCTTCCTATTTGCAAAGCTGCACAATAAACAGAAAAGTGGGTAAAAATGTACATGTTGGATAAGATCTACAAAGTAGGAGAGAGGACAGAGGAGTCGAGATTAGAGTTTGTTCTTAAATAGGGATAAATATAAATGGGAAACATTGATCTCCTAACCATAGCCATCGATTTTCTTTACCCTCATATTTTCGATAATGCGAAATAAAAATGCTGACACCATCTCCGGCTTCCTAATTCAGCCAAGGAGATAGAGTTCAACTCTGGAGAGCACTAGTTTCCTCCATCCTAAAGATGAGTCTTCCCTGGGATTTTACTTAACCGCTGGGGACGCTGGGGACGCAGTGGTATTGCGGGCATGTCTGGCCTCTGCCTGCCAGGAGTTCACAGCCTGGTGGGGAAAGCAGCAGGGAAGGGTGTGGGATGGGTGTGGGATGGGTGTGGGATGAGATCTGACCTGGTCCTAGGAATCGGACCTCCTTCCATCAGTGTAGACACTGTAGGAAATGTCAGATGTCCTCAACCGCCAGCGAGAGGGAATGTGAGTCCAGAGGTCAGGAAAGTAAAAAATTTTCAATTCCCTGCATGGCTGTGCTAAGGATTTGAAAGCCTCTTCACAGTGATGAACAGTAAAACTCCATTTTAATGCAAGAAAGCATCTCTTGATCTGCTCTGTGTTTTGAAAAGACTGCTTACAGCTACAGTGTAAATTTTGAACTTAGGAACGTGCCTGTGAAACATACTCGTTTATTTTTTACAAGTTCAAACCTCAAAAAATATATAACCTAGGCATCTCTCCCAGAGTACACAATTTTTAGAATAGACTCAATGCTTGTTTACATAAACGTTGGAAGTGAAGCCATATTCTGGTTTTAGTTAGGTTTCTAGGCATAGGCACCTGTGATATACCCATTCCCACTTCATGTTCAGAGAAAAACACGCTGCCTTTATTGCCTTTCCTTGTTCCAGCCCCATTCTGGTCTTCTTCCTACTCAGGATCTTCCGAGTATTAAATATCCTTGGAGGTTTGTATTGTGTATTATTCATAATATAATATACTACTAGTAACTTCAAAAACGTTTTTCTTGGTAATGAATCAGTTTGTATTTTGACCTTCACTGAATCTTGTCTTCTGTTCTTTTGATTTATTGACACAGCCTGTGATTAGGGTCAAATCCCAACTTTCATAGTTTCAATTCTCATTAAAAATGAATGGAGTGTATTTTAAGGCTACCACCCTGTGGAATAGTGATTGAAAGGGGACTTTAAGAACAGGCCACTTACGAGCTTTAAGAGCAGCCTGTTGTTTGCCTCTTGAAAACTTCAATTTCTTCTTTAAAACAGAGTTTATAATTGTGTGCACCTCTTGCGATTTTTATGACCACCGAATGAGATAATACACACAAGTGGATGGCACTTAATAAGTGCTCAGTAGTGTTAGTTATTATTGCTCTGTTGTACCGCTGTCCCCAGCATCACCAGCTGGTTCCAGGACCTGCATCCCTTCCTTGGATACTCAAATCTCAAGTTTCTTTTATAAAATGGCACAATATTTTCATGTAACCTGTGCATATTTCCCCCCAGATTTCAAATCATCTCTAGATTAATTATAATATCTAGTACATTATAAATGCTGTGTTGTACAACATTGTTTAAGGAATGATAACAAGGAAAAACCTGTGTGTGTTCATACAGATCCATTTTTTTCCCCAATAATTTTTGCCTGATGGTTGGCTGAATCCATGCAAAGGGAAGCTGCAGATATGAAACACGAGGCTGACTGTCCTATTAAAAGGGAACGTTAAACTAGAACACGGAATTCCTATTTAAATATGACCACGGAGCAGGTTAAAACAATCCAAAGCAAGACCTTGAGTTTTCACCTTTCTGAACCTGAGCAAGCCTCACTAACCAGGGACAGGAGGTGTAACATCATTAGGATTCTGGGCAAGCAGCACTGTTTACCAGAGAGATGAAAGAGAGTTCCCAGGCCAGCTGGGAGTCCGTCCTCTTCATCTAAGCTTCAACTCATCACGTGTGAACTTTCATCTGTCCGTCGCAGGTAGCTGACAGTAGCCTGAGTTTGTCAGCTGATCTGCATGAACTGAGAGTTTGGTGTCCAACACTGCACTCTAATATGCAGAAGTCACTTTCACACTGAAACCCTTTCCCCACCAGCAATCACCATCCTGGAAAGCTCTTCAGTACATGAGAATAAAATCCATCACAGATTACACCAGGCTCAATGGCTTTTGTTATTAATTATCTGTTCTCTGGGACAAACGTTTAAAAAAGACTTCACACAACGACCTGTACTGTTTTCTTCCTCAGTTTGGGCATCAGATGCAGGTAGGTTATTCTCAGGGCTAACTTGCACTATTTGGATTTTTTCACTTTCAACATGGTATTACCAAAAAGAAAGAAAGAAAAAAAAAACAAAAACAAAAAACTAACTCCTAACCTGTGTGGCAGAGGACTCAATGATAAAGGAGACTACTTTTTACTCTTTTTTTTTTTTTTTTTTGGTTCTTACCCTATTTTAATGGTTCAAATTTGATATCACTGATGTTGTCTAAGGACACTTTCTTGCACCCCCCCCCACCATAATGCATTAAAACAAAACTTAAAGTGTCCAAGGTGCTCAGGCATGTAATGCTGGTGAGTAGAGAAGGTCATGTGGATGGTGAGAACTGGGGAGCCCAGGATGCACCCTAACAAGACAGCTGCTGTGTAGAAACTTCCTTGCTGGCATGGGGGGAACACAGCAATCCCAATACGCTCAGCTTATATTTTTAAAAAGTCTCTTTCACTCTCTCTCTCTCTGTTTTTCTGTCTCCCTTTTTTTTCTTTTTTCTTTTTCCCTCCTTACATCCTCTTTTCTTCCCTTTTCTTTTTCTCCCCACTTTCTCTTCTTCCCTCTCTCACTCTCATCTTTTCTTTCTTTCCAGTGCTAGAGGGTGAACCCAGGGCCTTTCCCATGCCAGGCAAGGGCTATACTGAGCTAAACCTCCAGCCCCATTTCTATATTTTTTAAAAATTCAAATCTCTGAAATTTTAGATGTTGGCAACTAATCTCTCTCTCAAAAAAAAGTCTAAACCCATTCCTAGTAATTTCAATTTTGGGCTTAATTTAGTCCCAGGACAATTAATTTAAACCTCTGGTCTAGTGATATGAGCCAAGAACTCTTTGGAAGTTTCATTCTCTCCCCTAGGAACTAAAAACCTCCACTGCACTTGGAAAACATTATAATATAATTTGTGTTCAATGGAACATTGTGAAATAACTGGGGAAAATAATTTTGATTTGTAATGACAAAGAAAAAAGTTTGAAAATAATGTTACACAGTAATTAAGGGTAATAATTAAATTTGAGATTGAATGGATGTGCTTAAAACATACATTTATTTATAACTACAGTGATTCTCCCCACTTCTTATTCTAACTGGTATTTAGCCTTTTTAAAAGCTTTCAAATACCAGGTAGTAGAGGTGTAAGGTGGAGAAAGAGAGAAGGGCGTACCAGTGAACTAAATGTATCCTCTTTTAATTTTACCTGAAGTTACTCTCTCGTTCAGTTGGACCTTTTTGACTATAGCATTTGAATACTTTAATTCAAAATATGCAAAAGGTAAGTTTAATCTCCCAGCAATATTTTTTAATAAGGGGTAGTGTCTGTACAACAAATATGATATACATCTCCCTTCTGGTTAATCATTTAAACCCCAACTGTGAAGGAGCGTGGTGTCTCACTTTCATCCAACAGATACCCATTCAACACTGGAAAAGGCATGTAGCATGCGAAAGGAAGCCACGAGGTGTGTGGCTGGGAGGGAGGGGACAGCTGTTAGGCAAAACCTGGGGACAGATAGGGTTCTGTCCTCCAGTCAAGAAGAAAGTTTGAGCTGCTGAATTGTCATGGAGATGTTTGAAATATTTATGGCAGAATTTCCTCTTAGAGTCTAGCTCATCTAAAAACTTAGATGTACATCAGCGCAAGGCTTCATGGCTAAAAATGGCAGGGAAGAGAGTGAACCCAGGAGTGCTGGCTCTATCTGCATTTGACCTTTGCCAGTGACACTGATTGTTTTATGTCGCTTCTCACTACTCCAAAACCAAGCAAGTGTGAAGTTGAAAAGTTTTGATTCTATTTGACTTCATGAAAGCAATTAGATTACTATCCCACTGAATTATCCAATTTGAAGGGCATGCTTTGATTCTTTGTCTCTTTTGCTATTATCCCCGTATTTAGTAGTTCTTTTTGAGCTGGGAGCACATAATTCATTGGTAGGGGAGGGTGAACAATGTTATTTTGTAAGAACTAATAGTATTTAATCTATTGTTTTCCTATTATTTAAATTTTATGATTGTAAGATAATCATTGTAAAAAATTTAGAAAATATGGAAAGATATAAAGAACACAATAAAACCTCATAAGTAGACTACCAGAAATAATTCTTGTTGTATTATATTTGAATGTTTAGCTTCCCAATCATACAAAATTGAAATTATATTATATATAGTATGCAATATTTTATTTCACTTAACTAATGAGTATAATTTATTATAGTTGCATTATATTCATCTAATAGACATACTGTTAGTTAATTAACCAATGTTGAGCATTTATTCACCATTTTTAATGAGGATTCTTATGTACCCACATTTTTATTATTTCTTTATTGTCTTTTTTTGTCTTTTGAGACAGAATGACCCTGTGCAGTCTAGGCTGGCCTTGAGCTCATTTTGTATCCCAAATTGGCCTCAACTTGCAAAAATCCTCCTGCCTCAGCCTCCTGAGTGCTGGGATTACAGGCATGCGCCACCATGACCAGCTCTACTTACTGTTTTTTGAGACAGGATTTTGAGATGCAGTTCAGAATGGCATGAATTCATTATGTCGCCTAGGCTGGAATGAAACTTGCACGAATCCTCCTGCCTCAGCCTCCTGAGTGGTGGAATTACAGGCATGAGCCAAGTTAATTTTTTTTTTTTATAATTCACATTTGCCTTAGGTTCACTTATATTGAATTGAAAAGTCAAAGGATACATCTGTCTATTTGAAAGTTTGTACTTTTTTACATTTTTACTGTGTTGATAAACATTTTTATTTAGCTCTCTACCATCTTGTTGACAAGAGTAGTTTAGTTACTCTCAAACTGTGACTTTTAAAATCAGTATCTAAATGTTATTCTGTAATAAAACTGTCCATCATAATTGTTTGCCCTAAGGAGATGGTTTGTGTTCATGTGAACTCTAACGTGTTATTCTTTCTTTATAGTGGATTAATCCTGAAATAAAGGTACTGCAGGATGGGTCTGTACACTTGCTTGAAAAGTAACAGCAGTTCCCTTTCTCAGCTGCTAGCTACTGCACGTTGATCATTACAGTGTTGCTTCTGGAAACCCTTACTCAGCTCCAGGTCATTAGCTTGCTCTAACAGTCAACAGGAGAATAAAACTGTGCTGCATCTCCAAGGTTGGATTTTCATGTGGAATTCACTGGTATCTCTTATTAATTCAGTTGTGTTTTGGGGAATCAGTTATACTGGGGACTGAACCCACATACAGCATGGTAGGCAAGTGCTCAACTACTGAGCTACATCCTAGACTGTTTCCTTTTCATTCCAATTAGGATCTCACCAAGTTGCCTAAACTGGTCTGGAACCTAAGACCCTCCTCCTTAACCTCTAGAGTAACTGCTTCATAGCATTCAGTTCTAATTCACTCGTGCATTGGGAAAGACTAATATTTGAGGATTTCTCAGTAGAGTCAGGACTAGATTGAACCTCTCTGACACAGATGTTCCATGCTGAATGAACAACTATTTCATACCGGTTGTTGCCATTATTTTGATGGGCTTACAAAACGAGTATATAAATGGCAATAAACGTACCAAGATACTAGAAAAGACCACCAAATTTGACAACTGAGTTCTCCAGATGTCTAAATCGCCAATAAAAATAAAAGTCTGGCTACGTATTATTTACTTAAGCTATATAAAAATATTATGATGTGAAAGGTTGAAAATAAAACACATAAGAGGCAAATATATTAAGGAAAATAAAATTAAATTAGCTATATAGATATCAGAAATGAAACAGTAATTCACAAAGAACTTAAGTGATGAAGAGAATTACTACAAAGCCTACAAAGTTCATTTAATAAGAAAAAAACCTATTTTGAATCTGTGTGCCCACAATAAAATAGCTTCAGATTTTACAAGCCAAAAATAAACAGAATTAGAAAAAAGGACAAGTATTACATTGGTTGGAGACTTCAATAGACTTCTCATAATTCTGGATAGCTTAAAAAAGTAAAAAAAAAAATTTAAATCATCACATGGATGTAACTGTACTCATTAATAAGTATATCTATTCTTAATGCTGTGATATTAAGAGAAAATAAAAAAGAAACCAAAATAAAAGCACTGATGATATACTAAACCATAAAACAAATCTCAACACATTTCAGAGAGGTAATATCATAGCAGTAACTGTAAAGGTTTTAAAACATTTTCTCAAAATCTTTGGCAACCTTCTCATAAATAGATGGAGTACTGTCCTCTCCTTCTGAACCCAGATGATCCTTTGTGACATTTAATGAAAAAAATATAGCATAATAATCCCACTTTACTTTCAAGATAAGGTAGGTCTGTAGTTTTAGTGAGTTTTCCTGGTATAATTACTCTGGAGTCTTCAGCTGCCATGTAAGTTTGGTTACTTTAAAGCTCTAATTTAAAGACCTCGGTAAGAATCTGCAGAGGATTCCTGCTCCAGCCCTTTCAGCACATAGTTGTCTGAGGTTTTTCTGCCCAAGCGCATGTAAATAAAGAGGTCTCTGAGACACCCTAACCTCAGCCACCATCTGACTCGACTGCCACTGAGACCTATGATGGGTAAGTTAGGTATACACTGGATAGGGTTAGCCCCTGATAGCTGTTAAAGCAGGTTAGACCTGAAAGCTGATAAAGCATTCTGCCCAGGTATGTCTGTGAATTGCTTCTGCAAGAGTTAACATTTGAATCAATGGACAGAGCAAGAAAGACCCACTCTCAACCGTGAACAGGCCCCCTCAATCAATGGAGAGCCCAGATAAACAAAGAGATAGAGAAAAGGCAAACTGTTCTCTCTGCTGGATCAAGGACATCTATTTCCCCTCCCCTTTCACACTGGAACTTCAGCTTCTCTAGCCTTGACAAGCTGGGACTTACTATCAGCCCCCAGACTCTCAAACCTACAGCTTGGGACTGTGAGTTCTACCACCAGTATCACTTAGTGCTACACAAGTACAAACGTCTTTGACTTATGCTGAGGTAGACTACCAAGTTTCCGGAGTCAACATTTTGCAGACACTACTGTGGGACTTGTGAGTCTTATATCAAGTCAACCAATTCCCATCATAAATTAATTCCTCTATCTATCTATCTATCTATCTATCTATCTATCTATCTATCTATCTTTGCATCCTACTGGTTCTGCTTCTCTAGTGAACCCTGACCAATACAGACTCCGAGGAGAATTGACCAGCTGTGTCCAGTCAACACTCAGATCCATAAGCAAGTAAGTGATTGTTTTAAGCCATTGTCTTGAGGAAGTTTGTCGTGTAGAAATGGATAACTAGTATACCCACATTGTCTAACTAAAATTCAGTAAAAATAGAAACCAGTAGAAGCAATATAGGTGATATTTTTGTTTACAATTTGAAACATTACTAAATATTTCATGATTATAGGAGGGAGCCCACTAAAAAATTATCATATGGGAGGTGAATGAAAATACTGCATTTTTAAACTTCTGAGTTGTAGTGGAAGCCAGTATTTGATGGGATAGTTAAGCTTCAGTGCTTATATTAGCAAAGAAGTACTGCTAAAGCACAATTAAATATCTGGTTTAGAAAAATAATCTCTAAGAATCTAAAATTAAAGGATAATTAAATAACAAAAATTAATATAATAAAATTAGACAAAATATGTACAGGCATGGAAAAAATGGCAAATGTGTCAAATGCTCAGACTCATTAGCAATGAGAAAAATGCAAATTGAGACCATAATTTGTTTCTATTACATATATACCTACAATTCAAAATGTCAAGCTCTCCATGAAAATTCTTATCATTTGCTGGCAGAATTTTATTTTGGTTCAATTTATTAGGTAAACAATTTTACCTTCATTCTAAAGCTAAACATTGGTAGTGCCATGTCGCAGTAATTCTACTCTGAGATATGAATTGTAAACTCTATCACATATACATTCAGAAAACTCAATAATGTGTATGGAACATTATATTAAGAAAAATAGGAAATAATCCAAATATCCATCAACTGCACAATAGAGTTGAAAACAATATATTTAGAGACTAGACCACTACACAGAAGAGAAAAATAAGTAAGTTTTATAAGCAACAACATGGTTTTTTTTTTTTTTTTTTTTTTTTTTTACCGGTACCAAGGATCGAACTCACGACCACCTGCTTGCAAGGCAGGTGCTTGTGCTGCTGAGCTAAATTTCCAGCCCCATAAGCAACAACATGGATGAATCTTGGCAACTATGTTGAGTGAAATATCAAAATTGAAACTAAAGTGCTTACGTGATGTCACAGTTAAGCCTGATTGACAACTTGATTGGCTAAGGAATGCCTCATGGATCAGAAAAGCACACTGGTGAGTGTTTCTGGGTAGGTCATGATGGTGTGACCTCAGTACTGTATCTGGGTCCTGGCCCCTCCTTTCTGGCACTGTTCTGCTTTGCAGCCAGGCAGAACTGGGCAGCTTTGCTTTGTCATTCCCTTCTGCTGTGATGTTTCTGCCTTGGAGCTTGCTTACCATGGACTGAGCCCTGAAAAACCACGCGCTGACCAATACACAAGTTGAAAAATAATACAATAGGTAATGAGCAAGTTCAACAATCAAAGACAGTGATTTTTTTGTGGAGAAAGACACAGTGACTCACTGGGGAAGAGCATGAGGATAGCTTTAAGAAGAAAAAGAACATTCTAGTTCTTCAGTTGTTTCATGAATTAGCAGGTGTTCTGTTATTATGCCTCATGACTTATACGCTATGGAGTCTACACTGAACTGTAATATTTACAGTCTTAGTTGTAGTCCATTGCAGTTTTACTTGTGTTTTAAAGAGACTTTCTCATTTTAAAATCATTATTAGTTACCCTCTGTGACAGTGTTCTCTCTCTCTCTCTCTCTCTCTCTCTCTCTCTCTCTCTCTCTCTCTCTCTGTGTGTGTGTGTGTGTGTGTGGTTCCAGGGATCAAACTCACGACCTTGCACTTGCCAGGCAGGCGCATATGCTGCTGAGCTAAATCCCCAGCCCCTGTGGAAGTGTTCTTATTAAACAGTTCCAGAACGACTGAACTAGTGATACTGAAAGTGGTAAATAAACTTTTAAATATCAAATATATAACTTATTTAATACAATCACCAAATTTCTCTTCTTTCTTCCTTTATGTATCATTAAAGCCAATAATATCATTAGAGAGAAACAATGATAATAGTAGCTGTAATAACTTGCTTCTGTAGAGGAGCATCCATTGTCCACTGTGAATGTTGACTCTAGTTTTATTACATGGATTCTAAGAGTAGGGGCTTCCTTATTTATTTCAGTTATGTTTTTTTTAAAGAAAGATTGTCATTATTGCTACTGCTTATGCTCTTATAATGGTTAAAGATGGGAGGATGAACTCCAAACTAAGGCTGTGGGAAGTTTTATGATGTTATTCAGTACAGAGAATAAATGGGAAAAGCAAACCTGGAAATAGAAATCCAGACAGAGGACATTCCTGGCTGCTTTTGACTTGCCTGGGCCCTGTTGCATTGCTTCTAAATAATGCTTTGAAATCTGCTGAGAATTCAGAAAGAATACAGGAATGCTGATGAGTGTAGTATAAAATTTAAGCCTCTTTAAGATAATTGAGCTAAATTTGAACACAATAAAAGAAAAAATGTCCTACCAGCATCCCCAAAAGAGTGTTGTATGCTCACAATTTACATTTATTTCTTCACAATTTTTTTCTTCATTTGCCTGGAACAATGGTTTGCACACTGATATCTAAGAAGCTTGGTTCAGTTCAACCTTTTCTTTACTAGGCCATAACAGAAATTAGACATACCAGTTGTATCATTCAGACTCTTCTGGGAACTGGGTTTGTAAACACAATAGTGGTCTCCTGGAGAAGTGAGAGATCTAATGCAAAACTCTGACCTAAATATATCTCCAGCAGGAACCTGAAGATTGACAAATGGTGCCTCATTCAGCTTCCCTAAGTTAGTATGTTTTGATTTCTTTTCCCCTTTCCAAAATGAATTTACTGCTTTTCTGTACTAGCAGATTTGGGACCCACATTATGCTACAGCAGGCTTTTTCATTCCTTGTATCATCAATCTCAAGCTTTAAAGTCAGAAAGGGAAGTTTTTTCACAGTGACTTCTAGATCTTCTGGCTGATGTCAGGCATGCTAATCTGCCCATTCTGCAGTTTTGCACAGCCACAAGCCCTGACCTCAGAACTGTGAGTGACAGAACAGGTCCAATGCAAGTGTCTGAGAAAGTTGAGTCTCAGGGGACAGCCCAAGCAATTTTAGTGTCTGGTCCACTGACAGCTAAGCAGGACCTGCAGGGAGAACAGTGTATATTTGTGTATGTGCTGCATAATGGGACACAGACATGCTGGTACATCTTCCGAAGTAACTAAAGCCTTAAGAGTTTTTTCTTTCTAAAGCCTTCACCTGGCATTTCTTCACCCTATGCTCTCACTTCTATCTCAAGTGTTTCCTTGAATGCAAACACGTACTTGACCAGCAATGTGATGGTCATGACACTAACTGGAATTCTCTCAGCAGAATCACAACCCAGAATACCCAGTTATCCTGTTATCCTGACACAACGTTAAATCAACTATTTTTTTTTTTTTGCTGGGCATGGTGGCACATACCTGTAATCCCAGTACATTTTTTTTTGGTACTGGGGATCGAATTCATGACCTCACGCTTGCCCAGCAGGCGCTTATGCCGCTGAGCTTAATCCCCAGCCCATCAAGTCAACTTTTAAAGCCCCTCCACTGCACTTACTTCTTAGTTCAAATCTCATCCCAGAATCAAGGTCTTTTTCCTGGCTTCTTGCTCACACCATGTATGAATCCTATTCTTTTCTCCTAGACTCCAAAATAGCAACTCTGCTACCTCTGTATCCTTGTGCCCTTGGCATTAATCATCCCACTCATTTCCTATTCCCAGAACTGGCCATGAAACACTCTCTTTCATTTACAGGCATGAGTGATCTAACTCAACTTCTTTTCTTGCTCGTTAGCTCTTTATGAAAGCAATGTCCTGCTTGTTGCATGGACATGCAGAATTAATATTTGTCTTCTCTGTATCTCTTTCTAACCACCTAATCTGCTATGATCCTTCTTGGTTCTACCCAGACCTGCATGCGCCTTTATTTTTCCTGGCCAAGCATGGGCACCACCAATGTGTCTCAGGTTCTCTTCTATAGTTAATTACTTTTTCTTCCAACTGCAGAAAGGCAAAGAGATCGTGTATACTAAGTCAGCCTTACTATCAGTGGGGAGAACATCTGCCCCTGGGAAAGAATGAGTTATAATTAAACATTAGTGTACACTGACTAGGACTGCATGAAGTAGGTGATTTGGAAATGAAAGGCACCATGAACAGTCTCTGGGGTCATCAGGCCTCTTATTTGCATAAGATTTGGGAAGACTCTTACCAAAGCAAATTACCCTTAAAATCTAGAAGACAGACTTCATGCTGCTGATGACAAGAGCATTTGTTTTCTTTTATTTTTTTATTTATTTTGTATTTTGTATTTTTACTGGTACCAGGGATCGAACTCACAACAGGCTTGCAAGGCAGGCGCTTATGCTGCTGAGCTAAATCCCCAGCCCCGAGCATTTGTTTTTGTTAAAGACCTCTTCACAAAGATATAATAGGTTTTTCCTAAGATCTGTCAAGTCTTAAAAGTATTAAATCAACGATTTTTTTCCCTGAAAGTGTTGTATATAAAACCAACACCACCTGAATATCTTTGGTGGATAGAAAATGTAGGTGTGTGTATGTAAATATATATTTTCTCAGTTGCCTAAGGAGGCTTAAAAGAAATGGAGTAGAATTATAAGACTGTGTGTTGATGACTTTTCATATTACATTCATTTATTTAAAATTTTTTTTTTTTTTTTTTTTTTTTTTTTTAGGGACAGGGATTTAGCTCAGCAGCGCAGGCAGGTGCAAGGTCATGAGTTTGATCTTTGGTTCAAAAAATTTTTTTAAAAGAGATAGAGATGTCACTATTTTGTTCAGGCTGGTCTTGAACTGGTGGACTTATGTAATTCTCCTTTAGCTTCATGAATAGCTAGGACTGCATCAACATATCCAGTTATATCTGGCCATTTTTAACGTTTCCTTTTATTAGATAAACATTTGATGAGTTTTTCCCTTTAAAATTCATTGAAAGAGTCATAACCAAGAGAGCCTATGGGCTTGATCATTCCTCTAAAGGTGTATTTTTTTTTCCTCCCCTGATTACATTAAACACGGATTGGGAGGATGGTACTAATAATAAGAGTTTCATTATCTTTTTTCTTTGGTTACTGATACTCTTAATTACTTCTTCTACTGCACTTAATAACGAGCTATGGAGGAGCCGTGGTGTGTAGCCCTGTTCATGTGACTCAGGCCCAGACCGGGATCGTGAGACACATGACTGGCTGTAAACACAGGAGCCTGAGATGGTTTTAATATCCTCTTAGACAGAAGCATGACAGATTAGTGGGGACTCCTTTCTCAGGAAACAAGCCTCTGGCTATAGCTTTGTCTTTAACTCAGTCTTGGATCTTAATAAACACTTTCTCCCTGAACTTTAAAGGACCCATGCTTTTCAGCAATAGTTTAATGTGCGTGAAACAAAAACTCAGATAAAGGATTCAAGCATAAAATGTCATTGAAGGATCTGATTACTTCAGATGTTTTCTGAAAACCTGGAATTTACATTCAGAATATTTCTACAGAGAATGTTTTCCCTGCAGAAGAATTAATAGTCTTAAAAATGCATGTGCCTAGATGAGCAGTACAGAGTCCCAATTATTTTAAAAATATTCTTTAGTCAAGGTTCTCAGTTAAGTGTGTTGGTAAGAGTGTGTAAAGACGGAGTGGGGGGGTCAGGACACAACAGCAAGGAGCTATGGGGAACTGAAATACCATGATGAAACATCTGTGGAAGGTGAATTAGAGAAAGGAGAATGTGAATCCCTCTAAAATGTATTAAGATCTGAAGGAAGATATTTGAAGAAAGACCTGAAAAATGAAAAACAAAAACACAAAGAGAATTTGAATACACAAAAAATACAAGATATTGACATAGGAAGATATAATATTCACAGATGTTATTTTTTTCTTAATTGATGTTAGTCTAATGAAATATCCATGAAAATACTAATAGTCTGTTTTAAGAGTTTTAAGAGTAGTGATCATTGCTATCTATGTCACATGCCACATACTTACAAGATCTTTTCATCTGTTAAGCAGTCCCTCAATAAGCATCCTATTTTGTAGATGAGAAATTTAGGTAGTGTTTAAACAACCTGCTTAAGATTCTGCCACAAGTAAACAGTAGAACTGAGATTCAAACCCAAGGATGCAGGGTGTAGAATCTATGTCTACACGTTAGCACCATCTGCACTTTCAAATCAGAGGAGCTGAATGGAGAGTCTATGGACCAAGATGATACAGGAATGCACTAAATGCACCAACATACACTCCAGGAGGAATAGATGAATGCTTTTTCAGTATCTGAAGTCGAGATGCCTAGATCAATTTCTCTATCACTGCAAATAGAGTTGACCCGTAGCTCCATGCCACTGAGCTTGATCTCCAGCACCTTAGCCTGCTCTTTAAATAAAGGAATTTTTAAGTGTAGAGAAGGTATAAAAGTATAGAATGAAATAAAAATGAGCCAAAAAGGCCTGGGTGACTAGAAGCAGGGATTGGAAGAAGACTGACTTTTTACTCATCATCATATTGTACATCTTAAATCTTATGCTATTTGCACTGTCATCTGGTTGGTCCTGAAGAACACACATCTCTTCCTCGAAGCATGTAGCCATCCTGTGCCTAGTTTTATTCAGTATTACAGATCGCCTACTTTGCATAGTTTCTTCTTGATGGAACAATATGAATGTTTGCTCCAGTTACCAAATAGAGTCTCAGGACTGCTTAATGTGGGACCTCACTAGAATTTTGAGGTATGCTGTCTGAGCAGGCACTGATCCTTTAGAGAAATCTAGAGTGTCCAGAAAAGTGACAACAGTATCATGTTTTCCAAAGTTTGCATTCCCTGGCCCACAGAGAAGAGTCCTGAAACAGCACAGGACACACCAGCTATCAGAACTGACAAGTCTGTGTACTTTTTATAACAGATACAAATCATTTTTATGGGCTCATTTGAAATGTTTGTGGATAGAATTAAGTAATTCTGTTTATAAATATAGAAGCAAAGGGAATGATTCACTGTGTTTAATTAGTTTCAGTGGTAACACAGTTTTAAAGAAAGTATCTTGGTTTGGTGAAGTTACAGATTATCTCAGTAAACGATGAGATGGTTTTAAATTCCACAGAATATGTAGTACAAATTCCACAGAAGCATGTAGTAGAAAGACACTGAGCCATTGCCAAACACCAGCTTTTTGAAATTTGAAAGTAAACACTCATATAAAATAAATGCTCTACTGACACTAGTCTTAAAAAATGAAATATGCAATTTCCGCGAACTTTATCAATTATCTGTAAAGCTGTTGTCATTTTTGTCTTGGGGATTTGGTGAAGGAATTCATTTTAAGCTTATGACGTCATAAAGCTTATGGACAATTTTGATCACTACACTCTTTGAGGTATATTCCTTTCTAGCTCTGCACCTGTTTTCTCCTCTCCTAGAAATTCTATTCTCTGCTTTAAAAAATTTAAAATTTGTCATTCATTGCATAATAACAGATATCTAGTATAGAAAAAGTTAATACGGATGATCAAGAAAGGAAAAAGTAGCTGGGAATATGGCTCAGTGGCACAGCGCCTGCCTGGCAGGCACAAGGTCATGAGTTCAATTCCCAGGACCAAAAAAATAAAACTCCAGAAAAGAAATTAAAAGAAAGAAAAATTAGAAAAATTACTCATTCTTCCTCACGGAAATAGATACTCCTAATGTTTTGATACATATATAAGGAGACCTTACTATATCAATCACAAATTTTTGAAAACTTAAAAAACTTAATACGTACTTACATTTAAAAAATCAATCAATATAGAATTGAGTGAATTTAAAAATCAAACACCTCCTTCTCTAGAATAATTACTTGAATAATTTTCTATGCAAGTACTTCTGTAATCTATATGTTCTCCTTCTGTTATGTGTATATATGTGTGCATGTGTCTGTGTATGTCCACATTCTTTTCACTCATAAATTTCCATGTAAACTATTTTTATAACTTACTTTTTAAATTAATATTCTTCCACTTCAGGATATGTAGACATAACCACTTTCTTTTAATGTTTGCATAGAATTCAAATCTTCTTTTGATGAAATTCTGTATGCACTCACTTTTTTATGCTACAAACTTGTTTTAGTGAATATCTGGTGCCTGTAGACCACGCAGTGAACACATGGCAAAATCCCATTTACCAAACACCATGCAAAAGAAAAGGACTATATGGTCAGACATCAAAATTTTAGTCTTAAAATCTTGAATATAATAATGAATGTCCAAAAAATAATGAATGTCCTACTCTATTACTTTCTAGGCTAAAACTTTGATATAAATCTGTATTTTATAGAAAAAGCATGTTTTCAAAATAGACATTTTGAATATCTT